AATGGCATTTGTGAGTAGGAGAAAAAGTGAAATCTAGGCTTGATTATATTTGTTAATTCGGTTTTCCACTTGATGATAATTCTTGCCATCCGTACATACCAAGTGCTGTGCTAAAAAGTGCAGACTCCTGGAACAAAACCTTTTACCGTGTTCCTGAATATTTCCAGATGTCCTGTCACTGTTCATTATCCACTCATATATCAGAACTTTTTTTTGGAGTTGCTTTGTACAAGACACTGATTGCTATGGATTAAAGTCTTGTATTATGTCTTGCATTTGTATTTACAGGATACTTTGTATTTGTGTGAAGTGGAAGACTATAAAGGTAGAAAGAAAAGTCAAAAGAGCAAGATTTAAGTAATAATTAAGAATAATAAAGAGGGCCCAAGGCGAGGGATACATGATGCAGTTGGTCGCAAAATACAGCGAGGGCTTTCTTGGTTTGAAGTAGGAGGGAAAGAGGAAACCAAACCTTGTCTAGTTGTTATATCTAATACAGGTAAGGTTAGCAGTTTGAGGCAAGAGATGTTTTTTTTCTAGCTAGGACTGCTAAACGAAATTTGCCACCTGTGTAGTAGAGTCTGTCTGAAGAGGTGATGTTTGAACAGAGACCTGAGAGAGGGTGATGTGAAGCTCTGGGGAAAGAGCATTCCAGGTAGGAAAAGAGCCAATGCAAAGTCATGAGGCTGTCCGACTCAAGGAGCAGCAAAAAAGGCCCATTTCACTAGAGGGGGATGAAAGAGGAGTGAGTGATGGTGCCAGGAGGAAGCCAGGGGCCAGGTCCTTTAGAACCTTTTAAGTTGGGGTGTGTTTTTTTGGGTCTAGATATGAAGGCCCTCGGATAAAATGGTTGGTTCATCTGTTGTGCTCTGTTTCCCAGAGAAGCTTCTGGGATCAGGATTAGAATAATGTTACAGGAGGCACTGAGCATTTTTCTCCATAATTCAGTAGGTCATCTAGACAACTGTTAATTTCAGAAGCTACATTTGTTGTGGTCGTCTTAGCCCCACTGCCTTCATTGGAAATCTAGCTTATATGGGTTGCTTTTAAAGGATATTGTTGCAATGAATTTCGTTGTCACTTCTCATCTCCTTTGTTTTATTTAAGAACATTTTTTTGAGGTTGTGTGTATAACATCGTAAGTCTGCAGCTACTGAAGTTGTAGTTTTACACATGCGTATACCCCCCAGATCAAGATGGGGACCACTTCCATCCTGAGAGCTCCCTCATCCTTCTTCCCAGCCAATAATTCCCCTTACCCACCAGGAAAACTCCCATTTTGATCTCTGTCACCATTAGTTTTGCTTTCTCTTGTACTTCCTATAAACGGAATAATAGACTAGTTACCCAGTTGAGTTTGGTACTGTGTCTTGCTTTAAACATGTGAGATATGTCCATATTGTGTGAAGTAGTTATTTTTTTCACTGCTGTGTAGTATTTCATTGTTTAAAAATACAGCACAGGGGCACGTGGGTGGCTCGGTTGATTCAGGTCATGATCCCAGGGTCATGGGATTGAGTCCCACCTCCGGCTCTGTGCTCAGCATGGAGCCTGCTTAAGAGTCTTTCTCCCTCTCCCTCTCCCTC